GGGCTTCAGCAGGTTCTTTTTTTTCTTTTTTTTATCCTTGCGCAGGGGCCATGTGAAATGTGATAGGTTTCTCTTTTTTATTTTTTCTGATCATGGGAGGAAAAATTTTAATTTTCTGCAGAAGCTTATCGGCGATATGGCCACGAGTAGATCTTCACATGTTTCCATAACGTTTTTTTTTTTTTTCTTTTTCTTTTTTTTCCGGGAGTTCACATAACTTTGCACTAACTAGTGCCTTGACAAATCTTTTTTTTTTTTCTTTTTTCTTTTTTTGTAAGGGCTGGGAGGTATCGGTGATAGGGCCCAGGGAGGAGGTCTGGCAAGAGGCTTTTTTCGTATTTTTGATAAATTTTCGCTTTTTTTTGCTTGGTTGTGGGGGGAGGGGGTTGTGGGGAGTAATTTCCGAAGTATGACCGTTTTTTGTCTTTTCGTTACAGTCCATGATCTTAATCCACGGAAAGTGCTTGGCACTTGATATCTCCTCCTGGTGAGAATGTGGTGGTTATGATGACCAGATTTGTGCAACCATCTTCACCTGAATACGACGCACGGTTATTATAGCCGTATTCGGTGCAACTTCGAGTCTAGATACAGTGATAATGACCGGGCGCGTTCTATCCGGGTGAAGAGGTAGTGGTACTGCAGCACCTGTGCTTTTTCATCGGTTAACTCAAAGAGAAGTTTTCACTGGTATGAAACAAACTCAATTACTGTAGTCCCGCTCGAACCACTGATGGATGATATCCTTTCTAAGTGTGAATCTGTCATGCAGGGCGGGCTGATAATTTGATATGGCTGACGATTGGCCCTGCTCGCCGTCCTCTGTGCCTTCGTTTGTGTTGTGTGCTTTTCCTAAAGATATTCGAGCGGGTTGATTGTCAATCCATTGCAGATGCCGAGAACATGCGGTTTGAGGCGTTCACGAAACAGGTCGGTTGGTTGTGGTGTCTGTCCGGAAGATAGTCGTTGCCTTAAAGCACTAGTACCTTTGTCGGTTCGGAAAATAGTGGGCCTCGGACCTTTCAGGAGGCCGAAACGAAACGACGGCCACCGATCAGATTTATCAACGGCAGCCGCTGTCGGGCCCGGCCTCCTAAAAGTTCGGCACTAGGTGGTTTAAGTCGTCTCCCTTGTGTGTGTGAAGTCGTTTGGGTGCATGAAGCCCCGGTTGACGTGTGGGCGCGCTCTGTTTGACCTGTTTAGTGTACGAAAACATAGTGTTCCCCAATGAGATTAAGTATAAATAATAAACGTCAAATAATGAGAATTGTTAAATAAATAGTAATTTATTAGTAAACTGTAAATAGTAAATACTATAAGCGTAAATAGTAAATATTATATAGGAAATACTAAATAGTAAATAAATAATTACACAGTGTCAACTCTTAAAAGTTAAAGCCTTGACGGACTTATCATTGCATTGCTGGCTTGTGCAGACCTTCCCTTCTCTTAAAAATAAATAAAATAAATAAAATAAAATAAAATAATAATTTAATAAATACATAACGTAACATAAGTAAATAAAATAAGTAAATATGAAAGGGTGGTGGGCTCGAGGTATTATTAAATTTATTATGGAACTGAAACAGCCCCAGGTAGAATTAAGAGTGAGTGGTTTCATTCGTCTGATCTGTTCAGGATTCAAACATCCTCCTTCCCTTCTCACAAATGGGGGGTCTACGACTCGTGAGAAGGGAAGGAGGATGAATTGTACACCTACGACACCCCAGTTCAGGGGTGTAGTAGGTGTACAATTCATCCTCCTTCCCTTCTCACGAATTGTAGACCCCCGATCTTCGGCTTTCTTCTCCCCTTTCCGTTGCTTGGGCTTCTGGGAAAAGGAAGCCTGATGGTTGTAGTGCTCGTGTACGTTGTGTTTCCGTACAAATATAAACAAATTCTTTTACGAATTGGAAAATTAAAAGTCCGGAAACAGACTAAAAAGTTAAAAAGCTTTTTTTTTTTTTTTTTTTAAGGTTGAGAAAGCTGTTAAAAAGGGAAATTTGGAAATTGAAACCGATCGTGTTACTTTCAGGGAACCCCCACTCACAGCCCGCTGGAAATGTGCGCGTCCAGGGCTCCACGGTCATCAAACAAACCTTGTGATTGCTGTGTGAGGATCCAGGGCTCCACGGTCTAAGGCTGCCGCTGGAAATGTGCGCAAGCCGCCCTCACTGAAGGCGGGCCTGGAAAATTCACGTGAGACCTGAGTGAAGCCCGGCGAGGGGTCCTATGGATTAATCGCCGGGAGCCAACCCTGCTAACGGACCAGAAGGCCCAGCCTGTGATTTAGTCCACAGAGGCTAGGACCTGGATACTGACTGTACCCCGAGTGGGCTGCAGGCGCTGCTCGGTGAATGGTGGAATTTTGCTGTCTTTTTTTTTTTTTTATATAGAAATTACAGAGACTTCTGATCAGTGATCACTGTGATTCATACATTTAATTTTTTTCAAAATAAGGGCACCTTAGCTTTCAGCTTTTCACAAGTTCTTATTGTTTTTCACTAGTTTTTATTGTTTTTCTGACTTTTTCACAAGTTTTTATTGTTTTTCACAAGTTTTCATTGGTTCGAACTTCGAACTGTACTTTGGCTATCGAAACGCATTCCTGATAGTAAATTACTAAATTGTATTTAAATTTAAATATACCCATAATATCTTGTAAGTTGTAATTAATTAAATTTAGTGAATGCGAATTATTTAAGTGGAATAAACGGGCTTTTTTTTTTTTTTTTAGCTGAATTATGATTTTCTGAATCCCTAAAGGCTTGCGTGGGTGAATGACTGGTTGCTTACAGGTTTTCCCAAGGATCAAGGAATCCCTGCAGGTAAACTAATGCTCCTCTGGTATGTACTATTTAATACACTGAAGAAAAATATTGAAGAGCACCCAAATCTCTCTCCAAGTGCAAATCCAGTCAGTATTCTTTTGTCTTTTTAAAAGGGTGACGGCTTTGAGACATCATCATTGAGCTGACCGGCTGCAGACAATTCAGAAATATTTGGCTATAGGCATCTAGTTCCATCATCTGGATTTGAACTCAGGTCTGTCAGCGTCGTCCCCACATACGGGGAAGGGCCGTACGGATTTCCATACGACCGTCCATACGGCCCATCCGTACGGACTTTGGCCCCTCGTACGTGGCCGTCGGGGGGAAGGTCGGGGGAATGAGGGGCTGGGGGGGGGGCGGGTGTCGAGGAGTACACCCCCCATCGAAAGAAAAAAAAAGAGAGTCACATTTTGTTGGGAGGGAGGGAGGGAGGGAGGGAGGGGAGAGGGGGGGAGGGGAGAGAGAGAGAGAGAGAGAGAGAGAGAGAGAGAGAGAGAGAGAGAGAGAGAGAGCGAGAGAGAGAGAGAGAGAGAGATTCACATTTTGTTGGGCACACCCCTTCCCCCTCCCCCTCCCCCGTCAGTTCCTCCAGAGCATTGCCGCGGCAGGTCCGCTTGTTTTTATCAATAATAAGATGCTGGGGGAGATGGTGGTAAGATGAGGGAGGAGTGACACTGGTCCCCACTTGTGTGCATCTTCTTTTTCTTCTTCTCCCATTCTTTATTCTTAGTCTTCCTATGCATATTTCTCTTTCCAATCTCTTTCATTTCAGTTGGAATATAGCGGAATTGTCTTTCTTTGAGTTTTCCAGTGTGAGAATTCGATGATCATAAAGAACTGTTTATAACAAACTGTTTAAAACTTAGAAGTTGAGGATGGCTGTTTCTCCTGGCTGCAGTGAGGCAGAGCTGTAGGTATATGACGATTGGAGGTGTGCAGAGGTTTTCCTGGCTGCAGTTAGGTAGAGCTGTAGGTATATATGACGATCGGAGGTCTGCAGAGGAAGAGATGGTCCATACCTGCTGCCTGTCATTAGCTTGATCTCCCAGTTGGAGCTGGTTTTGCCTTTTGTTTTTAATTCAGTTTCTTATTTGTTCTCTGTGCTGAGCAGGGAGGCATTCTGGTGTTTATGAGATCGTACTTCGATTTTGTCCGCCTACGGAATTTTCTCAAATCGCAAAGTGCATCCTTCTGCTTACTTGGAGAGTGAGTACAAAACATCGCCTACTCTTTCATCAGCACTTTGTTTTAATCTTTTTTTGCTAGGAAGATTCTCACGCCCGGCTGGTCCTGCCCGGCCGGGGACCCGGGCGTGCAAAGGGGGGTGCCTTTGTGCGATTCTGTTTTTTGTGAGTTGGCTGTCAATGCGGGGGGAGGGGGGTATAATAAATTGGTTTTAAAGGAGCTAAATGGGTTTAAAGGGGGGCGCCTTTGTGTGATTCTGTTATTTTCTTTTTTATCTCCGATGCTGTGAGGAATTATAATGTGAACCCCAGCCAGAAGTCGTTTGTATTTCAATTCTACGCAACTTTTTTTTTTCCAATTTTTATTTATTTATTTTTATTTTTTTTACGCTGGGGCTTCCTGAAACGCTGCCCGGGGGTCGTGCCCGCCCGGGCACCCGGGCGTGAACCCGGGCAGAAGTTGGGTGCCCGGGTGCTCTAAAAAACAGCCTAGCTCTTTTGAGCATTTTCTTCGTGTCGCACCCCATGCCATTCATAAATGTTTACCCTTGTACAGGGATCCCCTACAATCTCAGTGATTTTTCCATAAACCGCATGTTGTGCTAGAATGAACTCTTCTCTCTCTTGATCGCTCGTCTCTTGGTATACCCCCTTTTGAATGAAATATGTTGTCAATTTGTCGTGATGAAACGGTATTCACCAATTCGTGGTAGCTGAGGCAGATCCCAGGGCTCGATCCCTAGTTCCCCAACTTACCTGTGTACAATACCTGCGTCAACTCGAAGAGTTGAACCTGCGACCTGTAGAACCGCCAGTGGTAGGTAGGTCTGTCGTAGGTCTATAGGTAGCCAGGATTCGATCCGTAGACCTGTAGATTAGAAGGCTAGCTGCAGTCCTTCTAGAAGGTTGGCAAGTGGTCAAGTGGTGCAGGCAAGTGGGCAAGTGGTGTGACTAAAGCAAGCCCATGTTGAAGACGAGGACAAGTGGCAAGGGCAAATAGTAGGACCCCAGTGCAACTGCACTGCGTCGTAGGGTAGTCGCCATGCAGTCATGGGAGAGTCTAGAAAGTACCAGTCCGGTCCAGCAAGTACCACGGGGGGGACTGTGTGCACCATGGGCCAGGGATACAGGGCAGACCAACGCAGCGCAGAAGTATAAATCAAGAGGCTGCGTCCAGCCATTCATTCATTCCTGCGGATGCCATGCGGAAGCGCTGCCTTAGCAGCTTGTGCGAGGAGGTCTGCAGCGTGCCCGAAGACGAAGTGGGCAGAGAAGTGTAGTGTAGCGATAGGTAGTGGCAGCTAGCGCTGCCATAGCTGTAGCATAGCGTGTGTGTGTGTTGCGTATGATACTGAGTGTTGCGTATCATACCTGTCTCTTATACACATCTAGATGTGTATAAGAGACAGGCGGATGCCATGCGGAAGCGCTGCCTTAGCAGCTTGTGCGAGGAGGTCTGCAGCGTGCCCGAAGACGAAGTGGGCAGAGAAGTGTAGTGTAGCGATAGGTAGTGGCAGCTAGCGCTGCCATAGCTGTAGCATAGCTGTCTCTTATACACGTCGAGATGTGTATAAGAGACAGGTGTGTGTGTGTGTGTGTGTGTGTGAGAGAGAGAGAGAGAGAGAGTGGGGTGTGTCTCTTATACACATCTAAGACAGTAGCATGTGAAGGTATTCTGGAAATGTCTGCTACTTTGAGCAGACTTCCACGGAGCCCATAACGAATGGAGGGGAAAAGGCCAAGAAGGCATCTAGATTCGAAACTGAAAATTGCCCCAAATACAGCTATAATGACCGGGCGTTTTATTCGGGTGAAGACAGTAGCATGTGAAGGTATTCTGGAAATGTCTGCTACTTTGAGCAGACTTCCACGGAGCCCATAACGAATGGAGGGGAAAAGGCCAAGAAGGCATCTAGATTCGAAACTGAAAATTGCCCCAAATACAGCTATAATGACCGGGCGTTTTATTCGGGTGAAGACAGTAGCATGTGAAGGTATTCTGGAAATGTCTGCTACTTTGAGCAGACTTCCACGGAGCCCATAACGAATGGAGGGGAAAAGGCCAAGAAGAAAATAGGAACTTGTGTTCCGCTCCTTGTACAGGTCTACCAGGTGCCAAATCAGTCCGTATATTGGCCTGGCTACTTGTTGGGTGGCAACTGGAGCACTGGTGGATAGCTATATGTCTGAGACTCTGAATAATATTTGTTGTTGTTGCTGCCGTTGTCGTTGGTGTTGGTGTTGTCATTGTTGTTGTTGTTGTTGTTGTTGTCGTTGTTGCTGTTGTTGTCTTGTCGTTGTCGCTGTTGTCGTCGTCGTTGTCGCCGTCGTTGTCGTTGTCGCTGTCGTTGTCGTTGTCGCTGTCGCTGTCGCTGTCGTTGTCGTTGTCGTTGTCGCTGTTGTTGTCGTTGTCGCTGTCGTTGTCGTCGTCGGTTGTTGTTGTTGCTGTTGTTGTTGTTGTTGTTTGATTGTTGTTGTTGGTCGTTGTTGTTGTTCTTGGTGGTGGTGGTGATGATGGTGGTGGTGGTGGTGGTTGTGGTGTTACGATCGGATAAGGGGGGGAATTTTGAAAATCCTATTAAATTAAGGAAACATCATTTGCGTACCTAGCCTTAATACAGAATGTGTTGTATAAGTGTAGAAGGCAGATTGTCGGTCCTGAACACTTTGAAAAGGCACGAGGAGGCAGTACGGCCAGTGCGTCAGATCTGTGTCTGGTTTCAAAAAAGCAGGCAGAAGCAGTTTCACAGAAAAATGTGTAGCAGTACTAGCAGCCTAGCAGATTAAAAATCGGGCTTGAGAAATTCTGAGTGGACTCAATGGAGGTGAAATAATTGTTGGGCAACACTTGTACTCTTTGCAGGTACACAAAGCGAAGTGATATCTCTCGTTCTCGATCATGGTTTTACGACGGCAGCAGGCAAATCATGCTCTATACTGAAAGAGCCCACTTCTACAACAGATTCAAGGCGAGTTTGCCACCCTTTGAAACTCCAATTGTTTGCGACGAGAACGGAAGGAGGAGGATCATAAATTTGCATTCTCATTTGCATGCCTCGGAGGTCGAACTATCTGTGGTTACTTTTCCTGTTTGCTTAAGGGGATGACCCTTCCTTGTTCCTTAAACATTTTCTCTCCTCTCCTCCTCCTCTCCTCCGCCTCTCCGCTTCCTTCCTCTTCCTTAACTGCCTTGCACTGCCTGCACTCCCCATCCTACTTAATGTTCAAATTCACCACTGCGAGGAGACGGGACATCATCTGCCAAGTCACAGAAGTCAGCTTCTCTAGTAGTGGATTGCGAGTTTCATATCAGGACGGACTTCCAGGGTCATGGGTAGGAGCCATTGCGACAGGACATGAACCCTTGATCACTCTGAACAACTCTTTCAGCTCTTGTGAAGAGCAGTGAAGTCATCAGCGTACATTACCAGGCTGAAAGATATGCAAGGAAGATGAGCAATAGCGAACTTCAGCAATCAAACAGCATCATACACATGAGACCAGATAGTCGTGACCTCGAACCAAAAGCAGAATTGCATGACGAGTTTCACCAAATAAGAGCACACCAAAAGCTCATAATTGACAATGCTGGAATATTCTCATCATCATCAACGAAGAACCAATGTTGATATCCTATCTGGCGCTCGGGCGCCCAGACTACGAATGGCAGATCCTATCTAGCCTAGACTACAATGCCGCTGATGACGTCAACAGCTTCCCAAGTACGAGCAGACCTCGGCCAATGCCGCACGCGTCAAGCACCAGGTATGTCTCTCGTATCACTCACAACCTYGTTCCCCAAMTCACAGATGCCACTTGCACCYAAGGACCACCATGCGCCCCATCCAGCATACAGCAGCGCAGCTCGGCTATGGCTGCCTGCTCCTTCCAGCTCGCCCGTGAGCGCGTGAGCCTGGCAGGCGATAGCGCAGCAGCGCTTGTGCACAAAGCAGCCAGTGCCCGAATGTCCAATGCGTGGGCAGGCCCTTCCCTATATCGAAGTGGCCTGCTGCTGCGTGCTGTGCTGCGGTACTGGGCCCCGGCCCAGAAGCTTCCGGTAGGCCCAGGGAGGCTGAGCGTCAGTCCGTAGGAAACAGGCCCAGGGCCTGAGGCGGTTACCAGCACCCAACTGCCCTCAGCCTTTGTTCGGTCCACTTTTCGTATCCGGCCCAGGCCTTGCCTCAGTTACATGCAATGAAAGGCAGCCTRGGCCTGGGTGCTTCCAACCGACTGCCGCTGCGCAACTGCCTGAATTTCCCCAGTTGCTTGGTGACCCTGAAATGGCCTGTAGGGCCTCGGCCGTGCCTGCCTTCACTTAGGGCGGCCGACTGTGTGAAAATTGGGCCCTGTAGGGCATATCGAGGCCCTATGCCTCGCAGATAACTCAGGCTTTGGCAAGCTTTCACGGAGCCCACTCACTGAGGGCATATTCACACCAGGCCCTCAAAATCACAAAATCGCAAAATGAGTGGCCAGATCGAGTCCTTCGTTTGCAAGAACACGATCTGGCCACTCATTTTGCGATGTTGCGACTTTGAGGGCCAAGTGTGAATATGCCCTTATAGCATTTAAATTGATTTAATAAATTTTAATGCGATCTCACTTGTGGTAATTTGTTCGTGAGGAGCACTTGAATGCCAGAGGCACAAGGGATGTATACATTGTATAGCATTTGTATGCTCTGGCGCGGGACAGTGTAGCTATCTACGGGGTTGGATATGATAAGACTTTGGCTTGGGATTGATGGAGCGAACTTCGGAGTTGTGAAAAGTAGGCGGTGTATGTTCTCTTATGCTGTCATTATTTAGGGGGATTGTTTGATCTGTTTTTTCCTTCTTTTTCTTTATAAAAAAAAAAAACAAGAAGAAAGTGTGAGGGTGTTTAGATATCATCATCGTTGAACTGACCGGCCGCAGGCAATTCAGAATTTCAGAATGATTTTTTTTTTCTTTCATCTGAAGGTATCGGGATTCGAACTTGAGTCTGTATTTCAGGAGTTCATGGGTGTACCAACTGACTGACCTAGGCCCGTTGGTGGTTTGATCTTTTCTCAGATACGTGGAATTCGTGAACTGGTCTTTTATTCACTCCCAGAGTTCAGCCATTACTACGCTGAGGTATGTGTGCAGCAGGTAGCAAACGCTATCCATCAGTTTTTTGAACTTTTTCCTTTACTCTTGTACTTTTTCTCTCTGTTTTTGAGGTACTGGCAGACTCTCAATATGCCACTCACACCAGAGGTTTTCTCAAAGCAGCCCAACCGATGACGTGTTTTCGTGCAGAGACATGAAGCGATGAACCCAATCCATGCAGGCACACATGGACTACCGCGCCCATGTATAGGTTCCCCTGCGAACAGACACATTTAATTCTTGTACACGCATTGTAATAACCTGGAAATTTGTAGACCGTGAAACCTGTGCTTGCTGCGGTTCTTTGTGCTTGCGGGATTCCTGCTCTCTGAGTCTGTGTTTGGTCCAAGCGCGTGCTGATATGTGTGTCCCGTGTGCTTATCCACCCGTCTGAGAACTCGTGTGTGTGTGTGTGTGTGTGTGTGTGTGTGTGTGTGTGTGTGTGTGTGTGTGTGTGTGTGTGTGTGTGACCTGATGAGTATGGTCTGTGTACTGGAATGGCCCTCGGGCCTCGTACGTCCCTCTGCTGGCATATTGTACCTGGCTCCATGACCATTCTGGGAAGCTTCAGTGCGCTTCCTTTTCCCCCGGCAAGCAGGTCGGGGGGTAGAGCTTGTAGAAGGTGCCGACCTGAAAATCAGGTAGGTAAGTCCCAGGTCTGCAGGTAGATATCAAACTGTGGTGATGTTCCTGCCAAAATGGGCAGGTGAACCGATAGCCAGAGAGGCTGAGTAGCTGGGAAGTACCTGCCGGGGAGTGCAGCAGCCGGTATTTAAGAAGAGGCAGCACTGCACTCACCCTCGTTCTTCGGTTGGAGCAAGCCGTGAGGCTGCTTGAGCTCTCACCTGGCCTGATGTGGCGCTGGGCCAGCGGAGGGAGGCGGAGCTAGCTCCCACCTTGGCTATGGTGGAAGAAGCCAAAGGCGAGAAAGGAGGAATACATGGTTATGGGAGAGGAGTGAGGAGGAAGAAGGAAGGAGGAGGAAGAAGCAGCAGGAGAAGGCTGACCTTGGCAATGGTGGACTGCATCTTCATGTCCTTGGTTGGCGCCGCACATGGAAGGCCCCTGGTTGGGGTAACGAAGGAAGACTCCGTAGGGTGATGTAGGTTGGGCGGTGGGAAGGGGCAGGGCTACGAGAGCTTTGCTTTGTCCATGTACCATCCGGGCTAGACCTGGATGCTGCCGCCAAAGCCAGACGCTCAAACCAAGTATTGGGAGGAGGTGAAGGAGGGCAAGGTGACTTCTTGTGATGCAGACAGTAAGGAGGAGATTCGCACATTGATCGTGGCTCATTCGTTTCGTTGTTATTCCCATCTTCTATATCTATATCCATACTCTTTATAAAGGGAACAGCGAGTCTCGCGTGACGCTGTCCCGAACCCGGTCTGCCTGTGTTGGGAAAGAGTCGGGGGCCCAACAGGAACTTCGTCAAATCGGAGGTTTTTTTTTTGGGCTGCTGTGCGCCGGTTCGAAGGGCGTCGCCGCCTGGTAGAAGCGTTTCGAAGCGCGGGTTTTTTTGGGCTGTTGTGTGGCGGTTCTAAGGGTGTCGCGCGGTGGACTTTTTTTTTTGTCGTGCGAGTGTGTTTTCCCGTCATTTTTTTCTGTTCAGACACGAGGTTGGCCGTTGTGCGGGCCAAAGAGAAGGTGAAGGCTATCGTCGGGTGGCGGGCGGCGGGCGGCCGTTGTGCGAGTGATTGTGCGTGTATGTGTGTGAAAAAGAGAGAGAGAGAGCGAGAGAGAGAGAAAGAGAAAGTGTGTGTGTGTGTGTGTGTGTGTCACAGAGAGAGAGAGAGAGAGAGAGAGAGAGAGAGAGAGAGAGAGAGAGAGAGAGAGAGAGAGAGAGAGAG